AATCGTTGTCATCGATGGAATTGAAAATTCATTTCCACATTGACAAATGCATGTGATTTTCGAACCCCTTATACATAAAACACAAAAAATTAGCTTTTTTGGGGGACATACATTGGTTTCTCAATTATAATTGCAGATTATGTATTATCATAGGGTTGAATGCATAATTATGCAATCTTTCTTGACTTTTTTTTTTTTTTTTTAACAATTTACACAACAAAATGGTTTCTGACACGAATTATGCAACCATGTTTCAATTTTTTACCTGTTTATGCAACAAAATGGTTTTTGACACAAAATGCACTCGTGTTTCATTTGTTGCTAAAATTATGCACGCATTAATTTTCATTGCAACCTATTGGTAAAAATTTGGTTACAAAAGGAAACATTATTGCATAAATGGTAAAAAGACCATAAAAACAATAATTCACTAAAAAAATAGAACAAGATGAAGTAAACACAAGCCTATTATTTTAGTTTTCAGTAAAAACTGTAAATGCATGACAATTATCTTAATTTTCAACATATTTAATCAACTTAACTTGTAGATAAAAGTAATAAAAAGCAACATCCTTTTGGATATTTTAGTTCGTTTAGCTTTTATATATAAAGAAACAGGCTGAACATATATAAACTAAACCTTCAGTTTTTCCAAACGGTTTGTTTTTTTTTTCCTTTATTTTTTTTCCAGCCTTTTTGCATACAACTTCTCCAAGTTGACATGAATTATATTATAAATTCATAACATTATTTAGTTTTTCTACTCAAAATCATCAGCTTCAAATATAGTATTGATATGTATTCATTTGATGCAGATGAAATATTGGTAAAATAAAACAGTTGGTAATCGATTCTCTACAATGATTGAGCTATTCAGTAAGCTAAAGCGACCTTTCAATGGTATTTGGGATGCTGTGGAGTCCAACAAGGTAGCATTTGAGTCCATATTACTCAGGCTTCCTGTGAAAAGCATATTAATCTTCAAATCCATTTCAAAGCGTTGGTATAATCTAATGTCCAAAAAGTCTTTCATCCTATCACATAGACATTTCTCCAAACAAAACCCCAAATTTTTCGTCTTCTATGCTCCCGATGAAGACCTTGAAGACAACATACTTCATGAAATGCATCTAATGGAACCCAATGGGGCCTACACCGAATCCTACACAATTCCCATTTTTAAAACCTTACAATTAAATCACCCGATTTTAGTCTCCTCTTTCAATGGTCTAATATGCTTCATGAATGATATGACTCCATACGAATCATCATATGACATGTCATTACACATCTGCAACCCCGCCACCCGTGAAGTCCTAACCCTCCCTAAAAGCCACTTGTCATATGACATACCGATTTTCGGGGTCTTGTATTCGAACAATTTCCATATTTACAAAATCTTTAAGTTTATTAGTGACCCTGTCGATCCTAGAAAAGGTTACACACAATGTGAAGTGTACTCTTCAAAAACGGGAGAATGGAAAATAATCCCGCGTATCACTTTGCGTCCTTTAATAAATTTTACCCTGTCATTGGCATCGAATCATGTTTGTGTAAATGAAAAGTTATATTGGTTTGTCTCTCAAGATTTTGATGAGGGTTTTGAATATCCGACTTTGATACTTATGGTTGATATGGACGATAATTTCCATGAAATCGAGCTTCCAAATGGTTCTGAAACCGCGTTCTTGATTGAGTTTTGGGGAAGGCTTTGTTTTGTGGATTGGACAAAGTCGAAGTTTTATATTTGGCTTTTTAATGAGATGAATGAAGGTTGGTATTTGTTGGAGATAGTGAAATTTCCTGTTGATTCGATGAAAGTTGCTTATTTTGACTCGGTGGCTGCATGCGAGGATGATATATTGTTTGTTTATAAAGATGTTAAGGGTTTGAGACATGAGATATTGTATGATGTGGCCCATAGTACATGGAAAGAATTCCGTATAGCTGAAGATGATAAAGATAAAGCAATTGTTGTGTTTCCGTTCTTTGAAACTCTCCTTCCGTGTAGTAAGTATCATCGAAAAAATATGTTTATATGTTTATTAGTTATTATTATATCCTACTTTCATTTATTCATATTGCGACGTTATGCTTTGAAAAATTATGCCAAAGTATAGTGCTATAGGTTCAAATAAGAATAAAAATTGAAAGTACAGTGATATAACTCGGTAGATTATTTTAAATGCAATATGCCTTGATAAGAAAAATATTGAAAGTATAATGTTGTAATGAAAGAAATGAAAGTAGGATGCTATAATAACATAAATGGAAGTATGATGTTTTTTGTTTATTATAACATAATACTTTCATATCTTTCTATTACACCATTATATAAATGAAAAAATATACCTAATTATATGAATATCATTTAACTACAACAGAATATTTGTTGCTGTAATTAGGTAGGATTTTTCAAAGTATCATGTCTTAATATGAAAAAATATAAGTAGAATGCTATAATTGTGTAGATTTTTTAAAGTATAATGCTGTTATAAAAAAAGGAAATTAGAATGCTATAACACGCAAGTAAAATGAAAGTAGGATGCTATAATAAACAAATAAATTGGAGTATGTTGTTGTCTCTTGCTTTTAGCCCTATTTGTTTAATATAACATCCTGCTTTCCCTTCTTTCTATCACAAGGTTACTTTAGTATAATTTAATGCAAGTAGAACGTTATAACACACAAATCAATGAAATCAAGATGTTCTTTCTCTCATTATCAGTTTTACTTGTACTCATGTATCACTACAATGTGTTTTAAACAGTCTATATTTCAGTTCCTAACCTTTTCATTGGTACTTTTACAGAAAGCCACTGGTAATAAAGAGCAAAAAGGCAAATACTTGTTACAACATGGTAAGGTTTACTCTTTTATGAATTATGAACATAACAAGTCATGAAAAACACTATCAAAATTAAGGTGTTTTGGTGCATTGGGTTGCTTTGTTAGACATGACATGACATAAGTTTTTGTGATTGTAGATCTGCAGGAAGGAATATGCAACTGGGATCTTGTTCAGGTGTCTGAATGGTGGTGGTTTTTTAAAAAAACTATGTGTGAAGTGTGAACTGTAAACTCTGTTTCTGTTGTTTGGTTTGTTTGAACTTCTTTAACTGTGTGGTTTGTGAACTCCTCAACTGTGTGGCTTGTGAACTCTGTGTTTTGTGTGCTATAAACTTGAATTTGATAACTATCTGCTATTCGTGTGGTTTGGTGTTGGTTTTTTTTGTCTGTTGAAGTGATGTCAACATGCTTAGCTTGACTGTAGAATTTTACACATACTCTTCTGGTGATGGGTCCTACTTTAGAAAAACTATTAAATCTTCATTGTGCATCTGTAGTTGTTGTGTTGTGGAGTCTGATATTCTTTTTGACCTAATTGGCGCAACAAAAATTTCCCAATGTCACAGTCCAGAAGGTTTCTGTTGATGCCATTTTTTTTAACGAGCAGTTTTTTAGGGCAATTTGTGATTATAAATGATTGTTTCTATGTAGTTCGTGAATGGATTGGCCGATCACTCTAATTGTGATTGTGAACCATGTTAAATCTGATTCCTCTATTTTTCTTCACATCCTTATCTTGTGTTGTTTGATTATCGATATGATCCAGGAGTGATCAAACAGTGGTGATGTTTAAAATTGGATGTCCGGACATTTTGTAGAATTACATTCAATATCCGAAGCAATTTTGGATATTTTGTAATTTTCTTGGATATGGATTGGTATATTGAAAACTAAAATACGTTTTTTTTAATAAGTTGTTTAGTATTTAAAACTAGCTAAATATTTAACTCAATTATCATAAACAATAAAATAACTAAACATGAAAAATCAAATGTTTCAAACCACACAAATAAACTAATCAAACGAGCTTTCAAAATAGGGCTAATGTCATAAAAACCATTAAGTTTTTAGGATTTTGTCGGTTTTGCTCAAAGTCGGATTTTACGTTCGTTTATGCCTCAAACTTGCATTAATCTGTTCGCTTTTACCCTCTAATCGGCTTTTACCTTCAAAAGCCGATCATCTCTAATATGATTGGACGCAATAGATAGCTGAGTAGGATGCTAAGTCAGCATTGCTGACTTGTGCCTTCAAGGGAAAAAGGACAATAGATAGCTGAGTGGGATGCCAAGTCAGCATTGCTGACTTGTGCCTTCAAGGGAAAAAGGGGCTACAGTGGGACTTGGTGGAATCAAACCCGGGTCTACTACTTCAAAGGGAGGAGTTTTAACCACTAAGTTGAAAGAAGTTTTGTGTTTTACCTTGTAACTTAATAAATTTAATGTGTATTTCTCTATTATTATTATTATTATTATTATTATTATTATTATTCTCTCATCTTAGCTACAGTGAACATGTTTTTTTTTGGTAGAAATGCTCTTTTGGTTTTCCAATTGTGTTTCTTTTCTTTTAAGGGTTATTTTATGCCATCTTATATATTCTTTTGTATACGTGTTGATCTTAATTGGCTTCACCGATTTATTCTCCAATGAGATTCGGGTTTGTGGCCCGCTTCCCAGATCCTTCATTGCATATCTTCCCCACCGTCTTCGTGTTCCAACAGTCCCGGTTTCCCGGTGATTTTATCCCCACACCATTACCTTAATCGATCCTTCCAGTTTTTTCCTTCCACCGCTTCTTATCCAAACCTTCGGTTGTCTTTCAACTACTTCCTTTGCCCAAATCAGATTATGGTAGATCGTACATGGGTGAAACCCAATCCTAATGCTATCCCTCATTTTTTTTAGTATCCCAAATCAATAGTTTCAATTAATAAAATACCAACTTATCATTGGGGATTAGGTTATTTTCATCATTGGTTTATGATAAAAAAAGTTTTCCTCTGTTTTTAAACTATCATATAACCTTTTTTGTATTAATTTTCCTTCTTATCACTAACAGTAATGTCTAACTATTTTTTTTTAAATTATGGTGGAGGCTGCAACATCATGTTGGGGGATGTTCGTTACTTCGTGGTGTTGGAGGTGTGTAAAAAAGATGTTGTCTCAACTCAAAAGCGAGCATTGCACACTAGCTATCGCCCGAATCTCAACCGTTGCAGCCGGTTTAGTCATCATAGCACGTCTAGCAATCAACCGGTCTACCCCACTGCATAGAAGGTAATAACAAAGAATGAGGCCCATGAAATGCATTTTTGTGCAGTCCAATTTTTTGAAGGGTATATTGGTCATTTTCGTATATGTTTTCCCATTCTCTTTCATTTATAGATTCCATTATGTTTGAAGCTGCAAGGGAGACCCGATAAAGGTCAAGGAGGAGGAATTGGAGCAGTACCCACGAGACACAGCAGTTAGGTTGGTGCCGCCTTTGACTAAATTTGGTTAAATTAATTTTGTACCCAAGTGTTTTAAAAAGAGAATACATTTTAGTTTTCTTTTACTTTACTTCATTTTTTAAGCATCATACTTTCATAGTCAACCGATTATAACTTCTTCTTCTTCTTCTTCTTCTTCTTCTTCTTCTTCTTCTTCTTCCTCTTCCTCCTCCTCCTCCTCCTCCTCCTCCTCCTCCTCCTCCTCCTCCTCCTCCTTCTTCTTCTTCTTCTTCTTCTTCTTCTTCTTCTTCTCCCACCATCTCTCTCAACAAATGGTAACGCACACCGATATCCTCTTTCCCTTCCTGTTAGTTCATCTTTTCACTTAATGATTTCATGTCGCTATTCGTGAACCTGAATGATCTGTAGTTTGCTTTTTTCTTATGCTATAAAGATTCAAGGTGGAAAGTGCCAGACAACAACGTCATCAGAGATGTGAAGGGTTTGTCTTGGAAACACGAGTACGCTGATGTTGACGCCGCACGTGCACATAATGTTACGAGGAGGCGATCGCGATTGAGTAAGAATTGAAGCGTGATATTGAAGAGGTAAAATCAATAGTTAAGTTTCTCCACTCCCAAATTGATCTAATGTTTAGGCTTGCTGTAGTTTTTTGAATGAGTGGTATGTTTGATTATGTTGATCTAATCTAAACGACTTTCTCAAAATAAACGATATTTTTTGTGTGGAAGAGACAACTTCCATTTTCTTCGATTTCACTTTTCTAGGTTCCTCTTTTCTTATTCTCATTCGGAATTGATTATCATAAAAAAATCAAAAGGGGAGGGTTGCTACTTTTTTCTCCTGAGGTTTTTTCTTCATTATTTTTAACAATTCTATTCTTGAAAGCAGTCCACTTTTATATTTTACCCTTCATAATGTATGTTCATTGCATGTATATTGATATGTGTATGCTTGGCAATGACAGGAAAGAATCGTGAACCTATTTGAGAACAACACTTATTCTGATGTCAATATATTTGATGTAACTCTATCCCCCCCAGCTTAATGTTACAGGGGTAGTTGAAGTAATTTTGAACGAACATATAAGCCTGGTTGAAGTGAGTTTTACATGTATTGTATTTGAGACCGATAGATTACTGAAGGCAATGGTTCAGGAGTTGTTTGGGATGAAGAAGGGCACATTGTCATGAATTACCATGGTAAGGGCATACGATGTTTTACTCTTTTTAAAATTTCGTCAATGATCAATATGTTAAATATGATTATAAAAATTATCATCAAATTACTAATCCAATTTTTGAAAAAAAAAAAACTATTTCAAAGGTTGAGTAAACTTTGGGTATCTTTTGAACTATCCTACCTTTTAGCTAAATCGATTTTTGTACTATACAAACAATGTTCTTCATGTATGACTTTGTAATGGTTTGACTTGTGTAGACCCACTTGCAAGTGGTGCATTAGCCTTTTAACTAATGAGTATTTTAGAGTGAGAGAGAGACATGTAAACACCTCTATATAAGGTGGGTTTGTCCACTTGTAGAGGTGTGCTTGAGAGATATAGTTCATAGTGATTAGTGAGTGAGATATTTATGAAGCTCTAGACTAGATCCATTTTTGTACTCATTTACTATGATCGAATATATCTTTTAGCACCCAAATCATCATGTTCAATTGTGCAAACTTAAATTCCGCATGCCAAACCATGTTCTTTGTCACTACAATTGGTATCAGAGCGGGTCTTCAAGATCAAGGTGATATTTGAAGAACGATTCTCAGTTTGACAATTTTTGTCGCAATTTGATCAATTTTGGTGAGTCTCTCTCTATGATCTCTCTAAATTTCGTTGAATCGTGCGTTGCGTTTTTAAATTTTGATCGATTTGCATCATTGGATCAAATTTTTCTTGAAAAACCCTGTTGTGTGATCCAATAATTTTTTTTATTAGATCAAGTCAACCAAAATCATAATCAATTTAAATTCAAGAATTACTGTTCATGAAACCCAAACAAAAGATCGGTATTGTTCATATCGTATCATTAAGCCCAAATTCGAATTCACTGTTCATGGTTTATTGTTTTTAAGCCCAATCATTCCTCTCTTGACCCAATAAGTGTTGATAAAGCTCAAAATTCTTTGTTTCTATTATTAATAATTCATCCGATATTGTTGATTTTGGTCCCACAAATAATTAGATTGAAATCGAAATTAAAGCCTTTCGTTTGTTCATTTATTTTCATATGCTTATATTCATACGAATTCAGTTTCATCAATTCATTCTTATCAATCGATCATTGCTGATTGATTTCATCTTGTGAATCGATACTATTTAGACTGTGCAAACATGAAATCGATTATGATCAAGATGTTGTTTTGAAAAGTCAATACAATCTGGTATTTGAAATTGATCTTTTAATCGAAACAAAACTTTGATGATGTCTGGTCTCGCAAGATATATCATTCATGAATCTGATCCATAATCAGCTCGAGTTTTCATATTTGATACTTTTGATTGGATTTCAATATTGCATAACTGGAGAGTCAAAATTGATAGTCAACAAAAGTTTGAATCTCAAAAGCGAATTAGAATTCGATGTACATGATAAAATGGTTTGATATGTAAATACATCGAGTTTCTCTTTGGGCTAAAAAGTTTTGAAACTGAATACATATATTGATGAAATCGACATCAACTTTAATGGTTGCTGGGTTCAGTGGCTGTGAGATCGAAAATTTGAATATCGATTGATGTTTGGATTCGTAAATGATATCAAAGGATGATGTTGCTTTTGGGAAGGAATTGATATCCAATGGTCGATGATGATTTTGATAACGAACTAGAAAACGATTTTGATTTAGAATCAATGAATTTTAGGAATGTTTGTGATCTTGAATGAAGATTTTCAATCGACAGATATTGTGGGGCGTATGATCGATTGTAAAAAGATTTTGGAATCGAAGGGTGTTTTTGATTTATATACGAAGGGGTGTTTGGAATTTGAACGAAGAGTGTTAGTTTGAGTGAATATACGAAGGGGTTTTGGGGTTTTGTACGAAGGGTGTATATGGATAAGATGATGAAAATTCAAAGGGGTTATATTGCAAATTTGTATGAAGTAGTTACTGTTCACTATTTCGTATACTTCTACTCTTTGCATGATTTGAAAGAATGCACAAAGTTTCAAATCTGGGCCCTGAACCTTTGAATATTTGACACTTCGCAAATTAACTCAAGTTTCGAATGTTTGACACTTTTCACCCAAATTCGAAATTTTTTTGGAGCTTCGTATATTTTGGGCATGCTTCGTATGATTTGTGCACAAGAGCAGAATTTTCGAAGATGGTCCTTGAGACTTCAAATTTTTGGCAGTTTGCACCCATATTCGAAAAAGGACTATTTTTTGCTGAAAATTGAAGATTGTGCATTTCAGGCCCCTGCATTTGTGCAAATCGACGCTTTTTACCCAAATTTGAAAAAGGGGGAGAGTTTTGCATATTTTGTTATTTTGGGCGCACCGAGTCACTGCAGAATTTTAAAATTGACAATTTCTACCTATTTTTGAGAAATTTTGTCAAAGGCAATCCGTGAACGACAATAAAAATTGATTATTTTTTGGATTTTCCGGGTTGAAGCACAAAGTTTATGCCACATGTTAAGGGGGAGTTTTGACACGAAAAATTCTAAATAGAGCACGTTCTTTTTTCTTGGAGTTTTATAATCAAATTTCGATTATAAAAAAGGGGAGAAGTTTTATATGGAAATTCGAACTTGAATTTTTTCATATTACGCGGATTTGAAGACCAAAGTGATCTTGAAGTTTTGAAGCCACGAGATGATGCAATTGGAAGTTCGGAAGTGATGTATTCGAAATGGGTTTGGTTTTATTGAAGATTTTTGGGGTGTGTTTTTATGCGCAAATTTAGGGTGATTATTTGGAGTTTGGAATACTCTTGATCATTCGTTGTTGCTCGGATTGTATGGTCTCACATCCTAGAGCCCAAATTGAAGAATCATGGAAGAATTGAAGATTCAAGTTCGTTTCAACATGTGTCACTTTTGAGGCTCGAACCGCGTAGTGCTTGATTTTGGAAGATTTGAAGTGGGTCATCCATTTCTAACTTTGAGGGGGAGAATGTTGGGGTGCAAAGTTCTTCATGTATGACTTTGTAATGGTTTGACTTGTCACTACTAGAAAAATAGCCTTTTACGACGCGCAATTAATGACACACACTGATAGAGGACGCGCATTTGTGCATGCCCTAAAAATTAATGTTAGTTTTCTAAAATTTGAAGGATAGATAACACGCATTTTTGCATGCCCCTAAAATTAGTGTCAGAAAAAAATACGGAGGGCACTTATCAAAAAATGTGCGTCGTGTAACTGTGTCGCTTTATATTTTTTTAGGAAACACGGGAAATGAAATCCAAAAAAATTAACCACCGCCTATTCATCCCAAAAATTCCCCGCCTCTTCGAATTTGGGCCTTCGTCTTCATCCACAACTTCCTCAATTCCTCGATCCATCACCTCCACCAAAAACCTACTTCTCGGTTCCAACAAGTTCTTACACTCTTAATTCGACCCTAATGAGCTGAGGATTTAGGGTTCTTACCTCCCAGTTATCAATTTGAGCCGATGATTTAGGGTTCCTAAATCCGACCCTAATTTTTTTCTATCTCGCTCTTGTATTTCCATCTCATCCCTCTCGCCTGGTTCAAAACACGTAAGGGGAAACGAACACACTATTTATTTGCATATTTTGGTCTTCACCAAGATCTGGTTTCCATGTAAACTTTATGTTTCGAGCCCAAACCATCCTCACGCGATGTCATCAGCTTCTCTTACTTACGCATCTACACTCGGTGTCCCGAACCTCAAATCGTGGCTACGCTCCATCATCACCACACGCTGCTCGATTCTGGATTTGTTAGGGCTTGTTTCATCCATTCATTGCCTCCCTACCACAAGCGATCTTATAACTCTGCAAAATCGACCTCCTTCAATCATCTTTTCTATATCTTCATATGGTAAGAGCTTCAAGATTTATCTCTTTCCCAATTAGTGAGTTCTTTTGTTTTTACTTGATTACCGAGTTTGTTCTTGCTCGATCTTCGCATGTTTCCTAGAATTTTTCCTGTTAATCGCTTTATTTGCCACAAAGATACAAGCTCTTCAGATACTCTGGTCAAAGACATCACTGGCTCCCCTCCCGTCGCTGCGGTCGGTCTTCCTTCTCCTCGCCGCCATCGCCACTGCTTCCTCCATCCTCGCCGGCGTCAGACCTTCTTTCTCCTTGCCAACGTCTTTTTCTTCCTTCCCATCGTCGGCATCCTGAACTCGTTTGGTAAGAGTTTAAGGTTAGGGTTCTTAATTTTTTGAGTTACATATTACTAGGATTTCTTCGATTTTTTTAAATTTCATTCGAATCATCTTTATCTTCCATAACATTAAAGGTCTTTTTACATCCCCACCCGATAATTTCTTTGATTTAATTATATAAATGTTTTTCATGGTGATTTTGTCATTCTTTTCAGTTTGAAGAGGTTGTTTATAAAGTCAAAATTGAAGG